ATGTATTATGTCCTTTGGGTCACAGTCCAATCGACGTTACTTGTTCTGTTGCTCTAACTGTTCCAGCTTTGGCCACTGGGATCTTCTGGTGGCACCTGTGTCCTTCTGCTGGCCATCTATTTCTGCTTTAGTACTTCCCCACCTCCTGGTACTACAAACTATTCCAGATCCATCTCCTGTGACAGCACTAGCATCACCCGTTTCTCCACGGACCCTGGGTTCATTTGATTGGGTAACAGCGGTAGAAAATAAGATCTGAGTGCCGGGCATGCTCACTGCATCTGAGATGACAGGCTTCTGGGGCCAGAGTGGGGAGATGGATGTGTGCGTGCTGACCCACATGCACATACGTCTGTATTTCTGTATCTGCCTGTCCGTAGGGACATCAAGTGAGGATAAGTCCACACTGGGGTCCCCGACTCCCCTCCAGCACCACGGGTTCATTCTGGCCCTCCCCCTGCTGATCGGTGACTTCCCTCTCTGACAAGGAGAAACCCGGCTCCCACTGTGCACGCCACATTGCTTATTTGTTCAAACCTAGTCTACATGTGAAATGACTTCAGAATTGTTGAAATATGACTTTACCTACTTCGTTTTTCTCTTGAATGTCTTTCCCCTCTGCCCACTATGTCCCTAAGTAACTGTTGGAATTTGACACAATTAATGTGTTGCTTTCTTTATGTTCGGATTAACATAGGATCCAGATCATGAGTAATTTCCTGAAAAGCCCGACTCGGTAGTTTATAATCATCACAATCTAAATTTAATCTTGAAATCTAAAGCTGCCAAACTATAGATCAAACACATTACTTTAAAATTAGTGTTGCCATATTACTAGAATATTCATGGAATTGGGGTATGTTTGCTCTGGTACTGTACCTGTTAAGGGCACCCCTACACCTGCTGGCCACAGATCACAGAAACACCTCCCGCTCACACCCATTGTGTTTCAAACATGGATCTTCGTCACCAGCATCTCATGTTTGGATCCAGTTTGAAGCATCACCCTCTAACAAAAGACAAACGATCTTTATTTAGTGAGTTAGTTTGTATTTGAATTCCAGTTAGTTAACATACAGTGTTATATTAGTTTCAGGTGTACAGTACAGTGATTGGACATTTCTATACATCACCCAGTGCTCATTGTAAGTGCACTCCCTCATCCTCATCACTTGTTTAAACCAATGTCCCACCCTTGTCCCCTCTGGTCACCAGCAGTACGTTCTCTACAGTTCAGAGGCTGTGTCTTGGTTTCTCTCTCTCTCTCTTTCTTTCTGTCTCTCTTTTTCCTTTTGCTCATTTGTTTTGCTTGTTAAGTTCCATGTATGAGTGAAATTATATGGCGTTTGTCTTTCTCCAGCTGACTTATTTCAATTAACATTATACTCTCTAGCTCCATCCATGTTGTTGCAAATGGCAAGATTTTGGGGAAGCCTGGGTGGCTCAGTTGGCTAAGCATCCAACTTTTGATTTTAGTTCAGGTCGTGATCTCAGGGTCATGAGATCGAGCCCCACATGGGGCTCTGCACTGGCTGTTGAGCCTGCTTGAGATTCTCTCTCTCCACCCTCTTCTGCCTCTCCCCCACCCCCCAAAAATGGCAACATTTCATTCTTTTTTTATGGCTGAATCATATTCTATTGTATATAAACACCACCTCTTCTTCATCCATTCGTCAGTCGGTGGACATTTGGGCTGTTTCTATAATTTGGCTATTGTAAATAATGTTGCTATAAACATAGGGGTGCATGTACCCCTTTGAATTAGTATTTTTGTATTATTTGGACAAATACCCAGTAGTGCAATTGTTGGATCCTAGGGTAGCTCTATTTTTAACTTTCTGAGGCACCTCCACACTATTTTCCAGAGCGACTGCACCAGTTTGCATTCCCACCAATAGTGCACCAGGGTTCCCCTTTCCCCGCATCCTTGCCAACACCTGTTGTTTCCTGTGTTATTGATTTTATTTATTTATTTATTTTTAAAGATTTTATTTATTTATTTGACACACAGAGAGAGCGAGAGAGAGAGAGAGAGAGAGGGAGAGAGCACAAGCAGGGGGAGCGGCAGGCAGAGGGAGAAGCAGGTTTCCTGCATGAGCAGGGAGCCCGATGTGGGGCTCGATCCCAGGACCCTGGGATCATGACCTGAGCTGAAGGCAGCGGTTTAACCAACTGAGCCACCCAGGCGCCCCTGTGTGTTATTGATTTTAGCCATTCTGACAGGTGTGAGGTGGGATCTCATCGTGGCTTTGATTTGCATTTCCTGATGATGGGCATCTTTTCATGTATCTGTTGGCCATCTGTAGAAAGACAAGAAATCTTTAAAATGACCTTAGGAGTTACTAAATCCCAGATCTTGTTATTAGACTCTCATTGTGGGTGTACTTTCATTAAGGTGGCACTTCACAGCCTCAGACAACAAGGGCACCTTCTTCTGAGCCTTCCAAACAGCCTCTTGTTTTCCCAAGCACACGAATGTTGTTTATGATGTATATCTGATCTTACATCTTTCTGATGGCCTCATCCTCCTGAGTTCTTCCCATGGTAGGCAAACAGCCGAGTACCCAAATGCCAAGAACCTTCTGAGTGTTGACGTTTCCAGGCAGGGTTGCAGGAGACCTGGCTGCTGGCCTCAAACCAGTGCCAGAGAAGCTTCTCTTTCTTACATCCCTCCCCGGTGAAATGTAGGGAGGAGGAAAGGGGCAAAGGGTAAGAACAGGATGAGAGCAGGCAAAGGAATGTGTGTGAACGTTCCACGTGGGCTGTCCCTCCCACGCTGCCCATCTTGCCGGACGGGCAGTCCTAGCAAAATCCCTACAACTTTCCAGACTCCAGCTGCCCCAGAAAGAACAGTCTCTGGTGCAGATGATGGCTGGTGCCCCTGAGGCTAGGGACAGACGTAGGGCTTGCTGTTCATCTCCCCCCGCCCCACCCCCAGGCTACAGGACCACACTGATATTTTGGTTTACCTGTTGGCTCATTCATGGGCAAACATGGCATCTTTGCCTGTGCTCTGCTCTGGCTGCAGATTCCCTCCCAGGGTGGGCTTCTGGGTAATAACTAGAAAGAGAGAAGACAGACAGCTCTCTTCATGGTTACCCCGCAGGATGTGGGCTTGGGGTTTTATCCGCTGGCTCCCTACTGACTTCAGGAAGTCACGGTCCATCCACTGGTCCACTTGGTCATTCAATAAGTACTTTGGCTGACACTGTGAAAGCACTGGAATTATTTCGGGTAAGAATGGGACACTTGGTGGGATGGCATCATGGAGAACCTGACAGAAGAACCACAGGGGGACCATCACTGGAGAAGTCTGGCAAAGGGCACTTCCCACCAAGCCTGCCACACGCAAAGGCACAAGGCCCAGAAGCATGGTCAGTGGGCCCGAAGTAGGGGGCATGCTCCACAGTGACAGGCGGTGCCCTAGAGTGACAAGGTCAGGTCATGGAGGGACCTGCCCCCCATGAGGAGATGTTTGTTCTACCCCAGAGCTGGGCGGGGTCGCCGAAGACTTCCCCGAGTGGGAGTGACATGACATATTTACACTTTGCAAAGATCATCTTAGTAGCAATGTGGGGAGTAACACGGAGCAGAGTAAGACAAGAAAGGAGGAAATAGGTCAGTATGGAGCAGACGAGAGACAAGGCAGTGAACAGTCCAGGTGAGACAGGTGGGTCACATGGAGAGGAAATCCAAATGTTCGGAGTCCAAATCCACTAATGGGCTGTGGGCTTCTTGACAGCAGACGTCATGCCTTTTCACGTTTGCAAAACCCAGTGCTGTGCCTGCCATGTAGTAGGTGTAGACAGACAGCAGTGTAGACAGAGGGACAAGGGATCTGAATCCAGCTTGTGTGACATGTGGGAAAGACCCGGCTTTGTTTCTAGACTGAAGAGAAGGCAGTAAGAGAGAGAGTCAGGCTGCCGGTGCAGGACAGGGGTTCCATGATGGGGTGAAGTCCCTGAGGGGACGGTAGCAGAGGGGGGCCTCTGTGCACGGCCTTTTCTGGGCTACGGTGGATGGAGTGCACAAGGAGAGGTGTCCTTGGTGAAGAGGTGATGCCATGGGCCAGAGGGGAGGGGAGGTGGCCCGGGCAGCTCAGGACGACAGAGCAGGATGGGCCAGCACTGGGCCTCAGCTTCCTAGCTCTTAACCCTATCTACACATCAGCCACCTCCCTCAGCTCGGGAGATGGGGAGCTTCTGGTTCTCACCCAGGTGTATCAAATATTTTACCATCCTACAAACTGGAACAAAAATCATTTGCTTTCATCTAGAAGCATTTACCAGACTGTACTATCCTGCTAGAGCTGTGTCAACAGAGTACAACAGATGGGCGGCTTAAACAACAGACGTTTTTGTTTCTTACGATTCTGGAGGCTGGAAGTCCAAGACCCAGGGCTGGGCAGGCCGGCCTCTGCCGAGGCCTCGCTCCTTGGCGTGTAGACGGCGGTCTTCCCCCGGTGTCCTCACATGGTCGTCCGTATACGTGCGTGTCTGTGTCCTGGCCCCTCTCCTTAGAAGGACACTAGTCGTGGGATGAGGGCCCTCTCTAACGACCTCATTTGCCTTAATCACCTCTTTAAATGCCCCGTCTCTGAATACAGTCACAGCCTGAGGTCCTGGGGTTCAACTGGTTGTGTTTGTTTTTGCTTCTGGACTCCAGCGAGGGGCCAGGCCTCATGTGACACAGGCCGGGCCTCTAAGCTCTACTTCACTTTTCCACGTTCTCACTCCCCGAGTGATAGGCTGGACTAACTCCCTCCAGTGCTAACATTGCATGAGTTCCCAATTGTATGTGTGAAGGTTCTTCACTGCTAATGAATGTCTCCAGATGTCCATAATCCCCAACAGAAAATAATTCTGTCTTTTTAAGAAGGAAAGGTTCCTGACGTCGTTGAGAAAATTGGTCAGTGGAAAAGCTGCACTGCTTTCAGCAATAATTGAAAAAAATCATTTGAGGTTTTGCAGCAACATGTTCATGCCGTGTGTCCTCTGCAGTTCTTTACGGCGTTCTGTTCGAGAAGAACAAGGAGGCTGCCTTTGCGAATTACCGCCTGTGGGAAGCGCTGGGGTTCGTCATTGCGTTTGGATACAGCACATTCTTGTGCGTCAACATCAAACTCTACATCCTCCTGGGAGTCCTGAGTCTGACCATGCTGGCGTACGGGGCTGTGGAGTACCTGGAGGCCAAGAACCTGGCCAGGCCAGCTGCCTCAGAACAGACAGAGCCGGCGGAGGGGGCGGAAGCAGAGACAGCCATGTGACGGGGTGTCACACAGAGCTCTACCCGGCGGGCCTCAGGCTTTATAGCTGATTCTTCACAACGGTGTCAGCAGTATTTAGCTGTCCTGAAGACATAACATAGATATATTTTTTTGTATAATTTTTTCCTATTCTAACAAGTTTTCAGTCCACCATGTGGAGATGGAGAGTATGCAGGAAGGAATCCATTAATGTCGGACACAAAGGAAGAAAGTTGAGTGCATCGTCAGCCAACGGCAAGTTGCTTAGGTAGAACCAAGAGCTCCCCCCTGTTGTTGTACTCGTTGTTGTTGTTTGTAAGAATCGGAAGGATGTGAAAATAATGAGTCGGACACTCTAATTTTACAAATGGGTAAATGACACCCAAGCAAGTCAGCTGACTCCCTCCCAGAGTCAGTGAGTGACAAAGCCAGATGAGAGTTTATGTCCCTTGAAGTTTACAGACTGTGAATTTCTAAATAAATGCAACTACATTATGGTCGTATCTCCCATTCAGATACTTTTATTCTAAGTACTCACCTAGCTCACACGCACCATGGTCAGCAGATAAGTGAGTTAGCATGCCTGCGACTACAATGCGTGAGGCTCACAACACGATAAACCTGGACCGTGGGCAGATTTGTTACCTGTTACACGTGTACCTTCCTATCAGAACCACGTCCACCAACAGTCTATTCCCATCCTTGCCGTGTGTAACCCCTGCTAATGTTGGCTTCTGCCTCCTTCTGAGACGTCTTCCTTCTCCCTGGAGCTCAGCACCCTCCGGCACCTCTGACGGTACCCCTGGGGTGTCCCCCTTCTCCCCCTTTACCCTGAGGTGTCATCTTTCATCCTTGGTCCCTGCCCTTCACCAAGGCTGCTCCATCTGTGTCCCATGAAGGTGGCCCTTCTGCACATTCCCACACCTCCTGCTTCCCTGTGGGCAGCCCCCCTCTGGCCCCAGCCTCCACCCCAGCCCAGCATTCCTCCGGGCCTTTAACAAAGTCCTATCATCTCCCTAAAACCCTTTCATGGACCCTCCCTTCAACAAGGCAAGTGTCTCCAGTCCCAGGGCCCACAGGAGGCTGCCAGGCTCCTCTCCAGGACACTCTGCTCCAGACCTTTGCTCACACGCTTCCTCGACCTTGAGAACCTTCCTGCCCCTCCACACCAATGCACCCAGCTTATGTGGCTGTCCTTACAAGCCTACGCAACTTATATTCTGTTGTATTTATTTTTTGTATGAGCATCTCCCTCAACTGAACCTTGAGCTCTGCCATGTCTGGGATACAATACCACCAGGCACTTAGTGAATGTTTGTTGAGTGAAGAAAATCCATCAATATTTCAAAGAACTATTCACCCATTCCTTGGTCTCTCCATGAAATTCCAGCCAAACCCTGCCCCCTCACCCGCTCCCGCAGTCAATACGAGTTGAGCCCGTTAGCCTGGTCTTGTGGTTCCCCTCCGGCTGGCTCACTTGCTCCTCCACGGCCTCTGTGGACCCTCCGCCCACCTCGCATCCTCCTCATGTCTCCTCCGCTTCTGAACGGAGGGGCCGGGCCACCCCTTGTGTCTCCATCAGAACCATTTCTGCCCTCCCACCCTGCCTTCTGTGACTTCTTGAAGCCCTCCGTGGTCTCAACAAAACTGAGTCTTTATGTTCTCTGAATCTCATCATGTTGTTTTCCCTTTTGTGTAGCATTTGTCCGTAAGAACTCTTGACCATCTCTGAACACGGAGTTTCGGTTATTTCACAAAAACTCCAAGGTATTTGTATAGAAGGCCTTCCACAAGGGGTAGATGACTGGCATGGTCCCTCCAACTTAGAGGTTTAGGATTCCGGACATAAAGGATGGGCAGCTCCTGGATGCAAATCAGGATAATTTGGAACTGACTTGGAACTGATCTTTGGTTACTCTCTCAGCTCAGAGCCTTTGCAAGTGAGACACCTTCACTTACTTAAGAATCCCTCATACCTTCCAGAGAGGCCCTTGAAGATTATCCTAGAGATAACGGGCCAGATTCTCCTGACCCCACTAGGCATCTGCTGAGACATAGATGGCACTGAGGAGTGTGCCTTGAGCCAAAGTTCCACGGAAAAGGACCCACAGGCTGAGAGCAGGGCCAGGAAGTACGGGCAAAGCGCTGCAGAGAACACTGGGGGCACCAGTCCAAGCCCAGGTCCAGCATCAGAGCCCAGACACAGAGGGGACGCAAGCTGTCCTGATATTTTATGTTATTTTATCTTATTTATTTTGTTTTATTTTTTTAATGATTTTTTTTTGCAGGGCTGGGGATGTGTCCTCTGTGAATGGCGACATTGCGGTTTCCTGACCCAGGGGCCGCCTGCTGTCGAGTGTCTGAGGGAGGGGATGGGCTGACCTGGCTTAAAGGGCAGAAGCTGAACTCTCTGTCCTGGTGCTGGGGGTGCTCGGCCCCTCCCCGCCCAGAGGAGTCTCCCTGATCCGTTAGACCCTCGAAGATGAGAACATGGGCAGAGGGGCCTGGTCTCAAACTTCAGGCCCAAAGACCACCTTTGTCCCAACACCGAGAGCAAAGGCCATCTCGGTGAGGACTGCAAGGAATAGCACGGAGTCACCAAGTGCCCCCGCGGCAGGGATTTTGCTGCCTTGGATGATTTCACTCGAGGCTGAGTGTTCACTGAGCACATGATCCTCTCTGCTCCTGTTGATGCACATGGGAAAGTGTGCCTGATGCCAGGGCTGCCCAGAGCCCAGGCCTCCTCGAGGGACAGGAGGCCTGCAGGTCAGCCCTGATGCAGACACGGGCGGCGGCTGCTTGGGGAGCATTTGGCTGGTGCTAGCGGAAGGTCTCGGCGGATAGCACTTTCCCACCTGCCCAGCCAGCCGCTTGGCTGCATCCCCAGCTCTCCCTGGAAGATCGCTTACAGCACGAGGGCCTTCTCTCTTCTCTTCCTGCTTTGAACTTCTTGGTGAGAAGAGTTTGAGAATGTGCCCAAGAACCCTGGTGTGGGGCCTGGACAGAGAGTTCCTCCCCGCCGGCTCTGGTCTCTGCCTGGTCAGCGGGTGAAGGATGAATGGCCAGCGCCTGAGGTCACACCAGTACTGGATTGTAGCAGAAAGTAAGTGATTTCATCTTGCTCTTAGTACTCCTTTTCTACAGTGAGAATCTTTGCATTTCATAAGGAATCATTAAGACAAAGTCTTGTCGTGAACGTCTGTGAAGTGCTGTGTACGATGGGGTGTCCAACCCCTGGATGAAGGTTAAAATACAGTGCTTCCCAAGCATCCCTAGGATTTGATCCAACAATCCTAACTCTCTTGGCCCAACTCCCAGGGCTCAGCAATAAATGCATACTTGTGTTACTTGCTTAGAGTAATTAATAGGGGCAAGATTTAAAAAATCTATAATGTAGGGATGTATGTCACAATATATCATAAAAAACTTCCTGAAAATTGGAGATATATCTGAAAGAAAATGCTAAATGTAGAAATAACAAAGTTAAAAAGCACCTAAAAAAGAGAAATGTGGTCAGAAATCTAGAGAGTCCCTCCAATTTGCTAAAATGAACCCAAGTCCATGGGCAGCCACGGCAATAAAAACACCCACAGATTATATAATCATCATTATTGGATGAAAGGAGCCTTGTCAGTGTTTTCAAAGAGAATCATTTTCTGGGTCCTAAAACATAAAGGGGTGTTCAGTGAAGAACGTGGGCAAGCACAGTCCAGCAGACATCCGTGTGTTTTAGGGCAGTTTGACATTCAGGACCCCTGACAGAGGCGGAGGGCATGCAGTGGGAATGGGGTCCTGTGAACGGGTGGGGAGAGCGGGGCTGGGAGCCTGGGGAGGGGGGCAGCACTCAGTGAGGGCCTGGTCACTCTCTGCTTCACCCTGCAGGAGACTAGAAGCTTCTACCCCAGAGCTGGGGCCAGGGGCCTTCGGAGGTCCAGCCCTAACCCTCACCCTAACCCTAACTCTAACTCTGGCTGGTGAGGGTCTGCTTCAAGCCTGGGCTTCCTGTTCAGGGCATGACACCTGCAGAGAGAAGGCACATGGTACCATCAAATGAGAGCTGAGCGAGTATAAGGTATTTGACACCCACTTCCAGTTTCACGTCCAAATCAAAGCCAGAGATTCTTCTTCCTCCTGAGCCCCTTTCCAGGCTCACTTCCATGCACCTCCACTGGTCCAACTCCAGACTTCTCCCAGAAGCCCCTCCCTCCCTCCCTCTCTGGGCCACATGACCTGTGTCCCCCGCTCCTGCAGGCAGGTGGGCATCCCAACGTCCAGCCCAACCAGTGACCACCCTGCTGCTCTGGTCCCCCTCCCATGAAGAGCTACCCACAGGCATCAGGCCCACTGCTGGGGGCTCCTCCCGGATGCCTCTGCACCCCAGCTGTCACCCCCCATCAGTCACCAGCCCTGTTTGGGTCACCTGCTATTTGGGAATCTTCCAAGCCCCGTCTCTCCCTGTGGCCTCTGGTGGTGGGTGACCCGACCGACCGTCCCTCAGAGTGTAAGGGTGACACATGGCTGTCCCTCCCCATCCACCAGCAATGACTGTTCTCTTTCAGGATGAAGTCCCAACGCCCTCACCTGGCGTACAGGGCTCCCCATAGCTTGTCCCACCTCACCCTGGCCCCCCACCCCTGTCCTTCCCCAGAGAGCAACATAAATGTCTCTCGCATCTCCGCAACGTTGCAGTTATTGCTAGCTTTACGAAAATTCCTGTCCTCCTCTGTCTGGCTGATTGAGTGCTCAGAATTCAGCTTAGAGGTCCCTTCTTCGGGGAGATCCTATAAAACGGCCCTGCTCCCTGCAGGCAGCAGCCTGCCGGCCTCAGGTGCCCTCTCAATGCGTTCCCAGCGCCTTCTGTCCGCTCTTCCGTGCTGGCACCTAAGACAACCTGTCCCCTCCCCGTGTGAGGGCGAGACGGTGCGCGGATCCCACAGCTGGAGGGTATCTGAGTCTGGCAGTCAGGCCCTTTGCCTCGCTCCCTTCCCTGTTTGTTCTTCCCTCCCGCACGGCGCGGGATG